TATATGGCAATCTTGGCCTGGTTTTGCTTCTTTTGGTACTCTTAGATGCCTTTTAACAGGGGAAATCCTCTGGTAGTACTTCTTGTAATATCATAAACGTTCACGAATAGTAAGACCACCTAAATATATTCATACCTCTCATTACAAATAATAGATGGAAAGTAAAGGAGCATGATCTTTGATGAAGTATTAAGTGCTGAAGTCATGAAACGGAAATGTCTATTAATTTGTGTAAGCATGATCGTGGCATTCATCATTTGAATAGCTTACATTTTTACTTAAGTTGCAATCATTTCAAAGAATTTAAATGTTGCTCACATTTATATTTTGTAGCAATAGCCTCGTAAGTTGTTATGTGAGAAATATTGCCAACAACCTTCTAAAAATGTTTCTTTTTTAGTAGTTGGGACATTTTAAATTGATATTGACTTGGAGAACTGAATTCTTTAACCTTGGCTGCAATTTATGTTTTGGGTTCTGAGTGATACACTATTGCTGTATTGCTGAAATTGAAACATATGTTTATCCCCAAACACCAATTCTTAATGTTGTTGTAGATTCTTGTACTTGAAATTTCTAACTGTTGCATAATGATATGTTGTTTTTCCTTTTAACTGTCTTTCATGATTTCTCATAGTCTCTTAATTTGCTGTGCAGTAAAACTCTGCCTTCCCTCCATTGTTTTTTTATTTTTTATTTTTTATTTTGTACTTTTCTGGCATTGGTTGATGGTCAACATGTTTTTTATTTTTAAGATGCATACTTGATTGACATTCCAGTTGAAGTGGAGACCCCTGATCGCCATTATTATCATGCATGAATCGAACTGATAAAAAACTTTTGCGATTGATGGGGATAGAAGCAAAGCAAGTTGGTGTTTACCTTCATTACTAAACTGCATTTGAAGAGTTAATATATTTATTTATTTTGTGTTTGCATGAACGGCTTGCCCTTTTTACTACTGAAGAGGTGAGAGCTTCAGAAGAGCAAACATGGGTAAATAAGCCTACAAACAAATTTTTTATTTATTTCAGTTACTTATTTGGAATGTATGGTTCACAAATGTTTATTATGTTGCTATTTGCTAAACTTCAAGTTATCATCTGTTGTCCATTTTTTAAGACCTTAAGTACTCATAAACATGTGACATGAAAATAAGACAAATACCTGCTTGACAGTTTAGAACTTTGGTGAAGATATGTTATTTCCCTACTATTAAGCATTAAGCCATGATGGACATTATTGTAGGACTATGGGATTGACTTTAATGATCCTGAGCCCCCAAAAAAGGCATTCCAGTGTTGTTGTGGAAGTGAATTTTGCAGAGACGTGAAATGAAAAGGTTAGTGTATATTCTCCCACCGTGAAACTTGTGGACTGTCCTGCATTTTATTTAAAAGAAGGCATCATATAGTCTCATAATCAGATGTATGCACGAAGCTCAGGATGTTTTTTTTTTTTTTGTTATACCCCTATATTAAGATTACATAGTTAGCTCGGACAGTGAACCGTAAGTTAATATTTTAGTTTAGTACTTAGGAGTAATGAGAGGAATATGAAACAATTTTATGGTCGTTTACTGGCCTTCAGGATTGTAACATGTTCATATACATGTCAATTACCAATGCTTCAATGGTAATAGCCAAGAAGAATTGTGTAAATGATCTCCAACTTGCATTCTGCTTTTGCATTCAAATTGGTCAGTTTTAATTCATCATGCATCTTCTGAAGCCTAACTACCATTATTGTGGTACACGAAAGAGATTGGTGATGCATCGATGAACTGTTGATCATCAGAACCTTCCATGATTTTCAGTGATTATGGGCATATGAAATTCAGTCCAAGGCTAGACGGTGACAGAATATCATCGATTGATTGATTTGCTCCCTTCAACTTTTCAATTAATAACAACTTTCATTTTTGAATTATTAGGATCTTTCTAAGGATCTTTAATGCCTGACGCTTTTGTAGACATTAACTTTGATAATCCACATATATCTATATATATACTTTTTTTTCATTTTTTAATATTTAGTAATATTTGTTAAATACAAATTAATTTTAAATGCACATTTTTTTCTTTCCTAATCTTAATATTAAGAATTTATAATAGAAACTAAAAAAAAATTAATAAATGAAATTAATATTTTGTAATATTAAGAATTTTAAATGCACATTTTACATTTTCAAGTTAATGTGAGCTATGAGTTGATGAAACTAAAAAGTATATATTTTTATATAAATTAGATATGTGAAACGTCTATAGATATAAGGTTTTATTATTATTATTATTATTATTACAAATGAGATTACAAGTTAAAGAAAAGCATTTTAAATGTTAAAATTTGAACTTTATAAATTAATTGAGTTAAACTTCAAATTTATAAATATAAGCTTCATGTCTCGAATTGTCAATAAAATCCTTGAATCACACACCTAATTAAATAGTAATAAGGGATTGATCAAGAAAATGCTTGGGTGCTTGAATTGGTGTATGGAAAGCATCGATGGATTCCTACACATGATGTCCTTCCTAATGTTGACATTTTATCAGTAAAACAAGAAGATGTTTTACAAATATGCATCGATGAATTTTGAGCTAGTCTGACATTTCATAAACTCAAAAAATATATCTATATATATTTAACCATTCATCAAAATCAAATCATCAAAAAATTATAAAAAAATTTTATATTGGAAGATATATATGAAACTTACTTAAAAAAAGAGATGACTTTTAAAAAATTATAAAATGATTGTGATCTGCTTAATTTTTTTATTAGATTTTTAGTATTAATAAAAAGATGGACATAATAGTCTTTTACATAAAAAAAATTTTCAACTTTCTTTTACCTAGCTTTTCCTTCAAATTGGGGTATTAAAAAAATTAAGTTTACAAGAGAAATAAAAAATTATTTGATTTTCACCTCTTTACTTTTCTTTAAATTAAATATATATCCAAACAAAGAAATGAAGGTTTTGTTTCCTTTACTTTCCTTTACTTTACTTTCCTTTCGTTTTTCTCCCCTCAATCCAAACATATTATTAGACCAACATTTTGTAGGTGGTAATTAATACAGCTCCAATGAGCTTAGAAGCATCTCGTTTGAGTGAGGCATCAAAAAAAGATTGGGTCCTTAGAATATATATATATATATATATATATATATATATATATATAACACATTTTCTTTTGGTTGAAGTTATGCGCAATTTATAGATTAACATCGACTAGAGACCTAGAGGTTAAAGGGAATCAAAAGCAAGGGATCTAATTATATTAATTATGGGAATTGTTTTGTTGTATGTGTCAAGGAAAGTACCTCTGCTAGCTCAAGGGTCAAGGCAGGAATTTGCTTTTTTTTTTTTTTTCTTTTTGAAGAAGAATAATTCAAAGATTAAACTTCATTGTATCGTAAAAAAAATGATTTATTGCATAATACAATAATTGATTACCTTTAATTACGCCAAATGACAATTTTATAGGATTGCACTATTATTTTGTGGGAGGAAATTAAAAAGTTAATTAATATGTTAACATCCCAAGAGTAAGATTGGTGGAGGAAGGGTATCCTAATTATCCAATATATGTTACTCCCAAAAGTTTAGCTATTGAGCTGTACGCTTAAACAAAGGTCCCGGTTGGACAAGATTCCTGCACTTTGTATAGAAATAAGAATCACATATTTTATAAGTAAAGCAATAGTAAGGAATAATTAGATCTTTAGAATATGTTACTTTCCCTTGATTGAAGCTATTATCTTTATGCAAATTGTTGTTGTATCTGTCAAGCAAAGTACCTATACTAGCCAAAGGCAGGGATTTGTGCTTCACATGATGGAAAAGCAATTTTTTTTATTTTGAAGAAAAAGAATTAAAATCATTTATTGAACTAAAAATATATACACATATCATTGAACCAAATGCTCAAGATAATTCTTGATGAATAAGGTTAATAGTACAAAATTGTTACTGTTACCTTCATATTATAGTCTTTAATTTATACTCATTATTTCATTATCATTATCATTTTCTAACTACGCATTTGTTTGGTGTAAAGCTAATCATGTGCTTACCTGTCATATAGCGAAATGATCATATGCAATTTTTTTTCTTTTCTCCAAAGAAAAAAAAAGTTGTATTGGCTGATATACACCATGTAATGTAGACATATAAAACTTTATATGAATTTTATTTCTTTTCGGAAAGTAATTACTATTCAAATATTTAATTTTATTTCATAATTTTTATAAATATTTACAAGTTAAAATTTTAATAATTAGTAACTAATAACTATATTAGATAGTTAGCCCTTTTATATATTTTTTTAGAAATAGATTTTATTAATATTCAAAGGGATAGAGCTAGCAGCATTACTAGCAATAACACCCTTTTATATAACTATGTTGGTGTATAATGAAAATTGAATATTTACATAGATAGAAAAATAGATGGAGTTTATTTTTATTGCTTGTACATTTTATGGTTCAATTTAAATATTTTTGTATTATAATTAATTTAGTGTAATTCAAAATTGTGTACAATTCATTAGAATATTATGTAGATTCAATGCTTATAAATAATGAACTCTTGTAAAATTATTTTTTATAATTAGCTAATTGCACTTTGTTATCATAAAAAATTATTGGTCAAATGTACCCCAATCAAATACAACTTTCCTTAAGCAATCACTCAAAATTAGATAGAAAAGGCAAAATTTTAACAAATTTATCTTCAAATCGTAAGCATTTTAGACTGATTCCTAAACTAAGATTTACTCAAAGTCATGTTTGGAAATTAAATAAAAAGCATTCTTCGTTGAAGGAAAAGAGGTTAAAAGCAACAAATTTTCTTTGTTCAAGAACTCTTCAACTTGCAATTAATCCCCTCACTCCTTCTACCTGTTTTTTCTTTGTCCTGTAAACATAACATGGACTTTAAACATTTTCTTCACAATCACAACTTGACCTTTAGAGAGGTGGGCAAGGAGAATGATACAATGACCTGCTTTGTGTGCTTGGATATCATTTCTGGTCCGGCGTATATTTGTGAAACATGTCTCGATTTTGTTTTGCACAAATCATGCGCTGAATTGCCCCCTGAAATACGAAGAGATGCTTTTCACCCCCACCCTCTAAGATTCACTGTGGGCAACTTGATTGTGTGTGATCAATGTGCAATACTGCAAGCATGTTTAATCAGTTACAGCTGTATGTACTGTATGTTCAACCTTGACTTTAAATGCGCTATGGCTATTTCAAATTATTATAAGCTGCCTACTCATGAGGCCCTACAGAAAAGGAGGCAAATTAAAACAACAATTCACCATTTCAGCCATAATCATCAACTGACTCGTAGCAAGTTCTCTTGTTTGACGAAGGAAGAAAAAAATGGTTTTCAGAGATTATGGGGGCAAGAAAAGTTCAAGTGCAAGGCATGCAAACAAAAACTCCATGATACTCAAATCTATACCTGCATTCCTTGTCGATTTGTCATTCATGAATCTTGTGTAAATGAGATGCCGAGACAAGTACTTCAAAGTCCATTTCATTCACAACATATTCTTTTCCCTCGACCGATCCCTAAGGGTCCTTCTTATACATGCAGTGCTTGTAAGGAGGAAGTTAAAGGTATCGGCTTCTACTGTAATCAATGTGATGTTACCGTGCACGTTTCATGTGCTAAGTACCAAACTCGGGCTATAAAGCACGATTGCCATCCTCACCAACTTCTACATTTGGGGAAGAGCATTCTCAGTAAGATATCTTGTAATGCTTGTCATAAAGATTGCGATAATTCCTTTTTCGGTTGCATAAAGTGTGATTTCTATATACATGTTGAGTGCATTCCACTACCGCCTAGGGTTGAACACCGTCGTCACTTGCATCCACTTGTGCTTAAAAATTCATTTGTTGAAGATGATTCGGGAGATTATTATTGTGATATGTGCGAGACAGAAAGGAATCCGGAACATCGTATTTATTTTTGTGAAGAATGCACTTATATTGCACATATTGATTGTGTCCATCCCAAGGTAAGACACGAACAAATAAATAATAGTCCTTTAATTGTATGCAAATTCATGTTGAGTGTATTATAAAAGCTTTTTTTTTTTTCTATTTGAATTTGGATGAAACCATGAAAATTAAACTTTGTGCATACACTATTATTAGGTTAAACCTGCAGAAGAAATGTTTTTGGATCAACGAACAAAAAAGAATTCTGACAAAGCAGAGATTATTGACAAAATGATGGAATTAGAAGAGATATTGGTGCACAATGGAAAGGTTAGTTTCAATCTCTATAACACTTAGTTCCTTTAATTAAATTTCACTAATGTTTAACTTAGATCAAACGTAGGGGTTTGCAAAAAACAAAAAAAAATTATTGCATCTTCTAATAGAAACATTAAACACTAATCAATCAATAAATTCAAAAAAATTATTATATGTCATAACATAAAAATCTAAAAACTTAATTGCTAGATACAGATCTAGAAGATGTCACTATTTTTTTTTTATTTAATTGCAATTAGTTACCTAACTACTCCATTCTTTTAAAGATATCCTAAGCTAACTAAGAGTTCTTAAAACGAATAGATTCTAATCTACTTATCAAAATTAAATTCGAAAGTTTGGTTATGTATGAAGAAAGTTTTAACATCTTACAACATCCATCATAAAATGATACCAATTAATTTTAAAAAAATAATAAAAATTATCTTGATTCAAATGATCTTTTTATTTTTAATTTGTTATTGAAATATAATATAGAATTTTTTAGGTTTTTTTTTTTTTCCCATCTATTAGGTAGAATTCTTAAAAATAAACTTTACTTAATCTTAAAACTATTTAAGAATCCCAATCATTTTTTTTAAGAAGTTTCTTTGTCAGATTTATTTTAACGTTTTATGGAAAGGTTTGTTGGTTTAATTCTCTAATTTTCAAATTTTATTCTTTTTTCTTGAAAATAAATATCAATTATTGTCATAGAAATTTTTATCTAAAATTTTCATCAACCTATCTAATTTTTTTTTTAAATGCCACACTTAGAAATTTCTTAAAAAATCAACGAATATTGATTTTTAAGAATTCCATTATTGAAGTAATTTTCTTGTATTTTGAAATTTTTTATTTTATTTATTTTTATTTGAAAATAAATATCAATTTTTTTAAAAAGTTTTTCTTCTAAATTTTTCATCAATCTATTCAAATTAAAAAAAAAAAAAAACTCTTACATAAAAAATTCTAAAAAATCAACCAATAATGATTTTTTAGAACTGCATCATTGAACTAATTTTCATTTACTCTTAAATTTTTTTTATAAATAACATTATGTTTTTATACAATATACTTAATTTATTAGTTGTCATAACGTCTAGATCCAGGGATCTATCGCTAGACATTGACTTAAGGAGTCGCCACCAATCTTTTTTATCTAGATGCGATTGACCACCTAAGGAATCTGTCCTTTCAGGGAACACCTAAGTTTAAGGATCCTTAAAAGAATAGGTTCGGATCTACTAACCAGAACAGGGTTCGGGAGTTCAGTTACGCGTGAGGAAGGTTATAGCACCCTCACAACGCCAATCAAAAGATGGTACCAGCTTAATTTTGTATTATCCAATAAGCCTTAAAATTTTACCAAGTAATTAATTATTGAAAATTATTCTCAATTAACTCTAATACTTTTAGCAGAAAATTGAGAAAATTCCCTCACTTCAAGAGTATGCAAGAAAACTACTGTTTCACTTATAGATGCTCCATCGTCGGATTATTTAACATTAAAAAAAATTCAAAACAAATAAAAAAAAGAAAAAATGATTGCTTTTGTACAAGAAAAAATTGATACTTTCAACTTTTTCTCAAAATATTTTTTGAAAATTTTAATTTCGAGGAAAATTGATACTTTCAACTTTTTTCCAAAAATATTTTTTTTGGAAACTTTAATTTCGAGAAAAATTGATACTTTCAACTTTTTCGCAAAAAAACCCTTTTTTGAAAATTTATTCTTAAGGAAAATTGATACTTTTAACTTTTCCCTAAAAATATTTTTTTGAAATTTTTAATTTCGAGAAAAATTAATACTTTCAACTTTTCCTCAAAAAACACTTTTTTTTGAAAATTTATTCTTATGAAAAATTTATACTTTCAACTTTTCCTCAAAAATATTTTTTTTGTTTTTTTGAATTTTATTTAAAAAAATAAAAAATAAATAAAAATAAATGAAAATAAATAAAAAAATAGAAAAAAATGTTAAACAATCATAATATAATAATAATAAATAAATAAATAAAAAATAAAAAAAAAACCTGGAACGGATCGGCTCGGCTAATGGCTTGGAGAGGCAGGTCACGCGCGGGTCGAAAGCGGGTCAACATTCCGGTCGGGTCGGATATTGGCAAAACGCGCGGATTCTCTAGGTTACTTAACGCAGAAACGATATTGTTTTTCCAGCAGACCGAGCCTCCTCTCTCTCTCTCTTTTTTCCTTTTTTTTCTCTCACTTCTCTCTAAAATTCTTAAAGAACTCTGGTTGAATATTCATCGGATTCTGAAAATTTCGTCAGAATCTGGGTTTTTCATCTAAAATTCATCAAAAAGTTGGTCGATTTCTGAAAATTCTCATCGAAAACTGGGCAGCTGGCCGAAAACTTCAAACTTGACCAGAATAGTTGCTAGAAAATTCAACCGAAATCTGAAAATTTGTCAGAAATTTTCAAAAAAAATTCGTAAAAAAAAATCTCAAAAAATTTCTCACCGATTCTTAAAGCTATTCTAACGCCTCTAAACCCTTTTTCAGCTTTCAAAACTCTTCTGTCTGCCTTTTTCTCTCAGTCAGTAACTTTTTTCTCTGTGTGTTTTTCCTTTGATCCGTGGTTCCTTTTATAGGGATTGATCAGAAGAGTTTCTGATAAATCTCAACTCCTCTTTGGATTGCGATTCAATCATTGAATCTAATATGGACTCTGATTGAACCCCAATCACGGTAGAATTCTCCAAATTTTAGCCAAAAAAGAAAAAAAATAAAAAATGTTAATAGATAATTTAAAAAAAATAATTAGATAAATAATAATATTAACAGATAACTAAAAATAAATAATAGATAAATTATAATATATAATCAGATAAATATATATAAATATTAACAGAAAAGAAAGAAAAAGAAAAGAAAAAAAGACAAAAAAAAGTAATTATAATAACAAGGATATATATTAATAAAGAGTAATAATAAATAAATAAATAATAAATACATAAGATAAAAATAAAAGAAAAAATAATAATAATAATAATATAAAATACAAAAAAATAATTAAAAAAAATAGACTTACCAATTTGGATCAGGTCAAATTGATCCGAATCTGGATTAAATTGGGTGTCTACATTAATTATTATTTATCCTGTATATACATTTCATCTACTTATCAAATAATTTAAAAAATTAAAAAATCTAAACATTTAAAACAAATAGATAAGAAAAACAAAAAAATTGAAATAACTAAGATAACAAGAAAATTAATAAAAACTAAAAATAATTGGCAAATATATATATATATGTATATATAAAACTTGGGTGTTGACGGGTCGGAGCACGAGTCATAAATATGGGTTAGGTATGGGTCAGGCCTTCTTTCTTTCTATCTCAAAACGGCGGCGTTTCAAACTCTCTTAAATAGCCGAAACGTGTTTTGAGTCGTCATTTTTCTTCCATCTTCTCTCTCTTCTCTTATTTTCCCCCCTTTTACTAAAAATTCAATAGCATCCGGGAATAATACTGGACAACCCAGAACCCAGCCAACCTCCTTTGTTGCAGCCGCCTTCCTTCACTTCTATTCGCCGTTCATCGATGTCGGATTATCACCAAATTTCATGACAAAAATTCTACTTGATTCCCTTTTCCTTCCTATCCAATTAGTTTTGGCAAAAAAGGCCAAGAAAACCCTCGATCTAAAAGCGAAAACTAAAATCTTCTACTACTAGTAGAGCCTTTCGTCTCTGTCCAAATCACCTAAGACCAAAATACGCTTATGTCTTCGACTTAACTTTTTGATCAAGTCTTAAAACCTAAACCCTTTCAATCACCTAAATTGAAACTCTAAGAACCTTATGCCAAAACCCTATTTTAATGATTGTGTACCTGCGAATTGTTAAGAGCCTTATGCTAAAACCCTATTTTAAAGTTAAGTAATGGTTCTTAAAAAAAATATGTTTTGATCTACTTACCCTAATTACGAACGATTATTTTAAAAATAGTATCATTTAATTTTAAACTATCTTAATAATTATATTTATTTAAAAAAGTCTTCTATTTTATCTAGGTTTTGTCATTTAAATATTGAAAAAAATTTTAAGTCTTCCTTACCATTTTGTGAAATTCCTAACAAAATTTTTAGCAATCAAGAGTTACTTAATAAAATCATTTATTCATTTAAAAAAATTTCTGTTGTCAAATTTATTAAATATTTTATAGAACAACTTAGTTTTAGAATTCCCATAAAAAATAAATGTCAATCACTAATATTGAAGACAAATATCAAAATCAAAATAAAGATAAATAATTAATAAATTAAAAATTAAAAACAAGAAATAAAATAAAAATAAAAATAATTTAGGCATTTTGGTTTAAAACCCAAACCGTGTCCGACTATTGTCCAAAACCAATCTGGCCTCAAGTCGAATAATCTTTAATTCGAATAGGCCATATCAAAATCCAATTACAAACTGCTGGATTTAATACCGAAATTTGAAGACGAGGACCCCGGATTAAATGGATATCTAAATTAATGATATATATGTAACCAAAATCCCAAACAAACCCGGGAGAAATTAAAATACCAAAAACAGTTCAAAAACACTGAATAAATTAAATTCAAACATATTTTTATAAAAATTTAGTTTAATAAAGTTTTTAAAATACCGAAGATCAAAATTGAAAAATTTTACTGCAAAAAATTAAATTCAGTCATTATTTAAGGGATGGAGGAAATATATTTTATTATTATCATTAGAAAACAGTAATTGTAAGAATGGATAAGTTGATAAAAATTAATTCTTTTAAAGTAATTTATATTATTAAATTTTCAAATTTTCTATTTTCTATACAAAATTTTTGTTATAACTTTCTTAATTAGAGAACTTTAATATAAATAAACAATTAATATAATATGATATCAGTATAATACATTTTAGAAAAATAAAAAACAATGATACATACAAATAATTTTATCAATTTATATGAAATATATGTTTGATTAATAAGTTATCAAAAAATTAAAAAAATAATTAATTATGAAAGACATGTAATTCCATAACCAATGAAAAAATAACTTATAAAATAAAAAAAGGGATCTTCAACAGTTCTAATACAAAAAACCAGTCTAAATTACTTATAAATGTAAATATGAGTCATAAAACCTATTAAATTAAAAACAAAATTATTATTACTTATTATATATATACTGCCATTTTTATCATTTAAATCAAAAAAATTCCAATGAAAAAAATAGTATTGATTAGTAATTATATTAATAATATATCAAAACTGTATTTGACTTATTAGCTCTCTTTTCTATATTATTATAAGTTTTGGTCAGTTCTATGAAAATTATAATATTTATAAGTTATTTATAATTATACATAACATAAATTATAAGTATCAAGATATTATATAAATTTAATAAAAAAATAAAAGGAAGCAAAATACAAAAATGCCCAAAATTAGAGGTTCATTCTCCGACTTCCTATAACCATTCGTGTAAAAGGATATCATTATTAGTCAATAAAAACATATATATATATATATATATATATATTTGCAACATCATATATTTTCAATTGGACGTTAGAAGTTACTGAAACCTATTCCAGTTATGTAAATCTCATGATATTTAAACATTTTAATGATTTAATAAAAATAAAAATATTATTTTTTTATACAACTAAATTTAAATTTTGTTAAAAACAATTTGCTTTAATATAGAGTTCAAGGTTTAATGAAGAAATAAATAGATAAAAATCAATCTATATTTTATTTAATAAAAACTAGTAGCAATTAAAGACATAAGATCTGAAGAAATCAAATATTATCTAGCAACAATGAGTCAAGCTAGTAATAATAAAAATTTATCAATATTTTAATTTAATAAAAAATCATTAATAAAGGACAAAATTAATAGGTAATAAAATAAATTATTCAAGATATATATCATTTACTAGTTATAATTTTGAAATTCGTGTTTATACATAAAATAGTGTATGTATAATATAATGATTAATTGATTATATTTTATAAAATGTGTAATCGGCTTCCTTTTTTTGGTCAGGAAATACAAAAGAATGCTTTTCATCCTCACCCACTGACACTTAATGATAATGATCCAGAGACTATATTTGTATGTAACGGATGTGGAGAACTGTGCCGCGGTTTATCTTACAACTGTAACCTATGTTTGTTTAGCCTTGAGAGCAAATGCGCTGCTTTAAATGATGATCTTGCTAAACATGAGGCCCTTAAAGGGAGGGAAATTCAAACTACAATCTATCATTTCAGCCACAATCATCAGCTAACTCGTTGCAAGATTAATAGATTGCAAACTGAGTTTCATCTGTCTTGCATGGCATGCAGACAATACCTGTATGGTCTAGTTTATGCTTGCCTTGGTTGTGAATTCTTTTTGCATGAATCCTGTCTTAAGGACATGCTGATGGAAGTTGAAAGCCCATTTCACCCACAACATCCTCTTCTCCCATTTCCACTCGTATCTGGGGGTTATTATCCTGAATGCAGATTTTGCAGGGACAGAATTGTAGACATCGCGTTCATTTGTTTTGAATGCCGGTTTGGCTTGCACTATTCATGTGCTAATTACCAAACTCGCAGGATAAAGCACAATTGCCATGGTCACCATCTTCTACATTTGGGGAAAAGCATTTTCGTTAAAACATCTCCCAAATGTGCTAGATGTCGTACAGATTGTAACGACACCTTGTTTGGCTGCATAAAGTGTAAATTCTACATACATCTTGAATGTATTTCACTGCCATATATCGTCAAACATATGCGCCATTTGCATCCACTTACACTTACAAACTCTGTTGTCGAAGACAATTCTGGAGGACATTACTGTGATATATGTGAAACAGAAAGGAATCCAGAGCATGAAGTTTATTACTGCAAAGAATGCACTTATGTTGCGCATGTTGATTGTGTGATTTCAGAGGTAAGTGGAGCCATCTAAATACTAGTTATTTAATTAGAAGTAGCAATATCTGCACATGTAGAAAACCTTGGAAATGACATATATTACTAAATTTCGTATAATAACAAGCCAATTTTAATTAGAGTGCCGAATTCATTTTAATAGCTTTTATATCTAGTTATATTATAAATCGTTACATCATCATTTTGAAATTACAGAAGCATTGTTTTTTGCTGCTATTTCCTGAAAGCATGAAACTAATTAAAACTTGGTAAATGCCTTTTATTAGGTTGAACCTCCTGAAAAGATATTTGAATATCTGAAGAAGAGAAGGCTGACAAAGAGGGGAAGGATAGATGAAAGGTAAGAGATGATGAGGCCTGCATATAGAGAAAACCTCGGAAATGGCCTATATTTTCGTATAATAACATGCTAATTTTAATTAGTGTGGTGAATTCATTTTAATGGCTTCTATATATCCAGTTAGATTATAAATTGTTGCATCATCATTTTGAAATTAAAGAAGCATTTTTGCTATTATTTGCTGAAAAATGTGAAACTAATTAAAACTTGGTACATGCGTTTTCTTTAGGTTGAACTTCCTGAAGCATAGAGGAAAAATGATGAGGTCGTTGGAGAAGTGAAAAGCAGATTGAGGATCAAACAGAAAAAGGAAAGGTGATCAAAAAATGCAAGAGTCCTTCAAACAAACGTTCCAAGTTCCAACATGTGTCTTTAAGTCTGAAAATCACAAGAGAACAATGAAAGGCTGTGAATATTAGCAAGTAAAACTTTATTTGGCATGTAAATAAAACAATGGTTTATCTTGAGTTAACATTTCTCTTTCCCCTTTATTGTACGTACGAATAAAAATATTTTATACGGAATGTTGCTCTAAATAAAATTTTCAAATTAATGTCACTATTATTTTATTTTTTCAATAAGTAGAAATACATATTTAACTTACTGTTTCGATAATTGAACATTAATGAGAAATTTTGCAAAAGAAAAAAATAATATATAAAAAAAACAATAATAACTATAATTAATAACAATATATTCTACAAAATATAAAATAAAATATATAATTTAATTTAATTAAATCTTTGATGGTTGCAATCATGCGTGGAAGAAAAATGTTATTAAGACTTCTTATTATATTAAATATTTTCAAAAAAATATATTTTAGTTATCGGATACTCTCTAAAATATTTTATATATATATATACACACACACACACACACACACACACACACTAAGGTATTTATTTGATAAGTCACTAATTTTTAACTAAATTCATTAAATTTTGGTGAGCTTTAAATAAGAGATCTTACATTCAAGTCTAGTGTATATTAAAAATTTGTTTCTTAAAACAAATAGGTGACTTTAGTAATTTCATTTCACCAAAGTTAATGTACTTATTGTTTAAGATAAGAAATAATTCCACTTATTATATGCATCTGCTAACAAGCATCTACCAAAGGATTCATGACAAAATTTCGTAAAATTTGAGTAAACTAAACATTGTATGCAGAATCTTTTGCAGTTGCTCACTAATGAAAGAATAACAAAAGAAATTAAATAATATCATACATCCGATTTTAAAAAACTAAAATTGGTCTAATGACAATAATAAATGTATGCATTTTTTTCATTAAAAAGTCGTATTTATATCTTGTCTTCCTCAAAAATGTTATTGATAATATTAACAAAAAAAATTTTTTATAGATCTAACTGATAGACATGTTCAAGAATCGGGATATTCGTCCAAACTTAAAAGTCTTACCAAATTTTGAGAGGATTTAGATAAAAAAAATTAAAAACTATTAAATAGGTTTGGATATAATTTTAGGTCCATTTAAATTTCAAATCGAATCTTGGATAAAAGATTTAAAGTCTGAGCTTAGCTTAACTTGAAATCAAATTCACATATATATAAATTATTTATTTTTATATATGTGTGAATTATATATAAAGTAATTCAAATATATATAATAAAAATAATATATATTTTATTAAATTTAATTTTTATTTTTATATAATTTTTATTTTAAATTTTTATGCATATAATTTTTATTTTTAATTTACATATATATGTGAATTGAATATAATCCCATTAAACTTAATTTAATTACTTTTTTAAAAAAATTTTATTGTATAAATTAAGTTAAACGAGTGAGTTTAGGATTTATTTTTTTAATTTAGGTCCAGTTTGAAAATTTTTTGAAGTCCGAAATTTCATATTAAACCAAACCTAAGCAAATATATAAATTATCAATACCAAGTAAGAATCCGATCTAAACCCAACTCGATCCAACTTATAAATACCTCTATTAATTGAAACCACTTCCAACATTTTAGTATACTAACCGACCAAAAACATATCGATGATGTGATTAATTTGCCCAAAATCTTGAATTGTTTAACACTTAACAGATTATCAAGTCACAAAACCAGTGTTTAATTTATATGCTATGTAATATAGAGAAGAAATCATTTTTTTAATACAATCAAAGGTATTTTTGATCACTTAAGTCATAATTTTTTAAGGTAACATTAGCTATCATTTTCAATATTATCTTGGTAATATAATTATCGAAATGATTTTGTTATCAAAGTTATCTTATCTCTATTTGAAATTATTTTATTTGATTGATAATTATTAATTTTTATGAATTAAATATCATCATGTTTGATATTACTAATACATTCTATGGACAATATATTCAAGAAAATGATTATTAATAATCACGAAAATTATTACCAGAAGCAGAAAGGAAAAAAAAAAAAAACTCCAAAGACGGTATAACAACAACAAATTCTACGTTAAAGACAGAACAATAGCTTATAATACATTTAATAGACAATATGCTTGGATGGTTTAGAATTTTCAATCTTCCAATAAAGAATCAGAACACTTTTTCTCTTATAAAAAAGGAGAAAAAAAAAAAAACGCAAGATCATAGCACAGCTTGTTCTCTACCTTAATGCAACCAATTTCCACAAATAAAAATTATAAGACCGTTGGAAATAATCATATAAAGCATTCCATAAACAGTAAAGACTAGAAAATAAAGGAAAAAAATGGTTGAGGAATAGAAATCTAATAAGAACAGCAAAAATGGAAAGCAAGTACAAAAACATGAAGACTTAGGGGGGAAAAAACCTGAGATGTCTTGTTGGAAATTTGGAGTTGACCAAAAACAAAATATTATTTTCCTTGAACATGGAGTAATAATACTAAATAAGTGTCATTGTCATAGGCCGAGACTCAACTTTCAGGTTTGTGTGGTTTCAGTACTCGAATATGCACTCATCCGACATTACAGACCAATTTATATGTTACGGTTCATATTCTTGTGAGTTATTGTTTATTCTGATCTCTCTGATCTCACAATTTTATCCCATAAAATGTGTTTCACAAAGAAGATGTGATGTAAACACTTTTATACTTTAGTGACCGTTCTTTTATGTCCGATGTAGGATTGGAATACCCTGCTTACTCCCTATTGGAGAGCTTTGCATGACATTTTTCCCCACCCAACCTTGTGACGCCCTCGTTACGGAGGCTGACCACTTTGTCTACCTCTCTTGAGGTGCTTGGCGTTGGTCAAACGATCCAGGGCTTGTTCTGATACCACTTTTCACGAGCCGAGACTTAACCTCCAAGCTCATGTGATTTTAAAACCTGAGTATGCACTCATTCGACATCTCAGATTAGCCTACCTATTATGAGATATTGTTCGCTCTGATCCCTATGGCCTCACGATTTTATCTCATAAAAGGCATTTCACAAGAAAAAGATGATGTGAACCCTTTTATATCTTAGTAACCCCCCTTTCATATTCGATGTAAGATTGAAGTACCTTATCTATTCCCCTTTTGTATACATGGGTATGATATTTGGCAAATAAAGTAATGATTTAAATAAAGTTGCTATAATTTGATTTGTTTGAGCAAATTGTTCCTCCCACAAAATGTTCACAATATAAGACATTAATAAACATCTATATTCTTGAATAGTTAAATGGGAAAATGATTTTTAAGTTCTGCTTGTAATATATATTATACATCAAATAGTGGTTAAATACTTATCTTATCACTTCTTTTGTCCTATTTAGAGTACCTAAATCAAATAAATTTGAATAAATTATTTAAATCTTAAAAAAAATAAAATGAAAAGCAACAAGCATATTCTACCACCTGCCAAAAAATGTGAGAGAAATAATTTCACTTATTATAAGCAGAATCTCTTAGACTTTGTTTAATTGACGAGAATTTTTTTTTTTAGTTTATTTTCTATTTCTGTTCTTTATTTTTTTTATTAAAAATAAAAATAACAACTAAATTGAGGTTTATTAGTTCTAGTAAAAAGAAAGTCTCAATTTGATTAATTCATGAAAACACCCTTATTAATTTATGGTAGCAATAATAATGAAATGGTAGCCTTGCCCACAATTTCACTGTTTTGATTGAGGCAGAAAAGATGAGCAAAGTCAATGTTTAACATTAATTGACTTTTTAGCAACCCTAATTACCAATTTTTTAAAAAATAAAGCATTGGAGGATTTGGTGCCTACATCTCTTTATTGTATTTCATTTCATTAATTGAAATTTTATCTATAATAATATCTTTATTAAATTCAATTGTCAATAATTAATATATAATTTTAAATTTAATAAAAATATTTACTTATTAGCCAAAAATATTTTACTTATTACGTAAAAACACTCCTTACAAAATCTTATTATATATAACTTGTCATTTTCTTTAACTAATAACATTAACTGGTGAACAACAACGTTAATTTTGAGAAACCAAGTCCACATACCAACTAGATTATAGTAATAAATTATAATTAAATATTATAAAATCCACAAGTGAATAACATAAAAAAATAGAATTCAATAAAACATAAATTTATGAATTCAATTAGTTTAGTTCAATTTATTTATATAATTATTTTGAAAATTATCATTTATTAGCTTTTAAATTCAAATTTCAACACCTATAATTTTTTTTATTTGCAAATTATAACTCTCTTTATAAAAAAAATAGGGTTATATTAGATTAGATTAGATTTATATATATATATACACACACACACACACATACATATATTCCTTATTTTAATGGTGAAGAGAAAGTCTTACAATTATGAGATTTTAAATTTAAATTTCATTATACAAGGATTTAGTTTAACTTTTTGTTAAATTTGTTTAATTATATTTTAATTTATTTATTTGATTATTCAATGATTTTTTATATATAAATGTAATATTTGATTATTATTGTAACTTTTTTTTATATTTATAATTTTATAATACTTTATTATAATTATAATTTTTCTTCTATTTATAATTTCATAAAAAATTTTAATAAGAACTTTTTTTTTTATATTGGCCGTCGAGGCAAGTTAGACGTAGATGCTCAGAGCATAGCTCCCAGATAGATAATTGAATTATTTAACGTCTAAAAGATATGCAAAATTATTAAAGCAATATTAATTATTAATAATTTTTATGTTTTAAGGAAAAGCAACGTTCCTTGAATATGAGTCACCTAATTAACAATGATACATCTCAAGTTTAAACATTTCCCTCCTTTATTCTCTCTCTTTTCTTTTCTTTTTTTTTTTTAAATAATAAAAATAATAAGATATTCAATATATTGAAATGAAAACTGAGTTGTTGAACACAAATTCCTTTCCTTGTGATCACTATGGCTTTCCAACACAGATCTTTGAATGGTTTAACGGCTAAAAGATCTACAAAATCGTTAAAGCAATATTTAATTATTAAACAATTTTATGCTTTAGGGAAAAGCAATATTTCTTGACGATTCACCAAATTAAAGTTTAAACATTTCCTTCCTTTATTCTCTCCTTTTCCTTTTCTTTTAAAAAAAATTGATAAAATATCCAATATTGAAAACTGAGTTGTTGAACACAAATTCTTTTCTTCTATGCTGTATTTTGTAAGAGAAAAAGATGAAAAAAAAATGAAAAAAAAAAATTTCCTTCTATTCTGTACGTGAAAAATAAAAAGATAAAAAAAAATGAATGAATTTACATTTTTTTCTTAAAATCTATTTTTTTTTTTCAAATGTAAAAAGAAAGAACTAAATTTAAATTATTAATTTTATTTATAACTTTACTCTTAGCCTATTTTATTCTCTTTATTTTCAATCCTTTATACCAAACACAATGAAAAAATAATTTTTCTTCCTCTTTTCTTTCTTTTTCCTCACATTTTTTTTTTTTATATTTTCCCTTGTTCCTACCAAACATACTATTGTCCTCTTTCATGATCTCTAGATGACACTCCAGTTTATTAATCTAACGTTATCAAGTTTATAGTGTTTATATCTATACTATTTTTATCCTTGACTGAATTGACGTCACAAGTGACAGCAATTAAATTAAAAATATTTAATATTTTAAGGTATTTAAGTTTAAAAATTGATTTAAATATTTTAAAACTAATCGATATTATTGCTATTTCTTTCTGAATGTTAAATAACTGTGTATACACTTCTTTTTTCTTCTCCGATGTTCAGATATATAATTGCATTTTTTATTTTCTTCTTTATAAATTTTATCTTAATAATAAATTATCATTTACCCGTATTCTAGGCGTGCATAGAAGTAGTATATAGCCTATGTGCTTCCATCACTGAAGAAATCGTTGTTCTATATATGTAATATAACTTACATTTGTCTTTTTTGGCAAATTGGACAAGGTCAATGAAAGATACAGTAGCAAAGATAAGGCATTCATGAATATCCAAAAATTGAAAAACACTCAAGAAATTGTTGTTCTATATATGTAATATAACTTGCATTTTTTTGGCAATTGGACAAAGTCAATGAAAAGAGGTTAAAAACAGTAAATTTTCTTTTTTCAAGAACTCTTCAACTTGCAATTAATGCCCTCACTCTTTCATTGTTCTACCTTTTTTTGTGTCCTATAAACATAACATGGAGTTCAAACATTTTCTTCACAACCACAACTTGACCTTTATAGAGGTGGGTAAGGAGAACAATACTATGAGTTGCTTTGGGTGCCGGGATATCATTTGCGGTCCAGCATATGTTTGTGAAAAATGTAACATGTTTGATATGCACAAATCATGTGCTGAATTGCCCCCTCAAATGCAAAGAGATGCTTTTCACCCCCACCCGCTAAGATTCACTCTGGGCAACGTGATTGTGTGTGACCGATGTGCAATATGGCGGGCATTTTCATTCAGTTACAGTTGCATGAATTGTACATTCAACCTTGATTTCAGATGCGCTGTCACTATTTCTAATGATTGTGAGCTAGCTAACCACGAGGCCTTACAGGAAGGGAGGCGAATTAAAACCACAATTCATCATTTCAACCACAATCATCAACTGACCCGCTGCAAGTTTTCTTTGTTGAAGACGGTGTTGGGTAAAGAAATTTTTAAGTATCTATGGAAGCTAGAAAAGCCCAAATGCATGGCATGCAAACAGAAACTCCATGATATTCTAATCTATACCTGCATTCCTTGTCGATTTGTCATTCATGAATCATGTGTAAATGACATGCCAAGACAAGTACTTCAAGGTCCATTTCACCCACAACATATTCTTCTCCCTCGACTGATCCATAAGGGTTCTTCTCACAGATGCAGTGCTTGTAAGGAAGAAGTTAAGGGCATCAGCTTCTACTGTAATCAATGTGATGTTAACATGCACGTTTCATGTGCTAAGTACCGAACTCGGGCTATAAAGCACAATTGCCATCCTCACCATCGTCTACATTTGGGGAAGAGCATTATCAGTAATATATCTTGTGATGCTTGTTATAAAGATTGCGATGATTCTTTCTTCGGCTGCATAAAGTGTGATTTCTATATAGATGTTGAGTGTATTCAACTACCTCTAATTGTTAAACACAAACGTCACTTGCATCCACTTGTGCTTAAAAATCTTTTTGTTGAAGATGATTCGGGAGATTATTACTGTGATATGTGCGAGACAGAAAGGAATGCAGAACATCATGTTTATTTTTGCAAAGAATGCACTTATATTGCACCTATTGATTGTGTCCTTCCTGAGGTAAGACACGAGCAAATAAATTATAGTCCTTTAATTAATTGTATGAGCAAATTAATGTTGAGTGTATTATAACAATTTTTTTTCCTCGTTGAATTTGGATGAAACCATGAAAATTAAACTTTGTGCTTACTCTATTATTAGGTTGAACCTACAGAAGAAATGTTTTCGAATCAACGAACAGGAAGGAATTTTGACAAAGCAGAGATTGCTAACAAAAGGATGGAATTGGAGGGGATATTGGTGCACGATGAAAAGGTTAGTCTCAATTTACGGAATAGTTAACTCCCATAATCAAATTTCATTGATACTTAACTTAAGATCAAATGTAAGGGTTTACCAAAAAAACCAAAATTTATTTCATCTTCTAATAGAAACATTAAACACTAACCAATCAACAAATTCAAAAAAAAGTTACCATATGTCATAACTTAAAAGTTCGACAACTTGATTGTTAGATATAAATTTAAAAGTTATCACTATTTTTTTTATTTAACTGTGATTTGTCACCAAACAACTCTATTTTTTTAAAGATGTCTTAAGTTAACTAAAAGTACTTAAAAGAATATGATTGATCTATTTATTAAAATTAAGTTTGAGAATTCGATTACATATAATAAATGTTTTAACACCCCTACAACATCCATCATAAAATAGTATTAATTAATTTTAAATTATTCTAAAAATTATCTTGATTAAAATGATTTTTTATTTTTAATTTATTATTAAAATATTACAAAGAATTTTTAGGTTTTTCTCCTTCTATTTGAAATTTTTTTAAAAAAACTTCTTTTCAATTCAAAAATATTAAAAAATCTCAATTATTTTTTTAAAAAGTTTCATCCTTAGATTTATTTTAATGTTTTTTGGAAAAAAGGTTTGTTGTTTAATTCTTCAATTTCCATTATTCTAATTTTCTAATTTTATTCTTTTTCTTAAAAATAAATATAAATTATTCTCAAGGAAATTTTTATCTAAAATTTTCATTTATTTGTCTATTTTTTTAAAATCTCTCACTTATAAATTTCTTAGAAAATCAACCAATCTTGTATTTTAAGAATTCTATAATTTGTGAAATTTTTGTGTATTTTAAAATTTTATTTTATTTATTTTTATTTGAAAATAAATATCAAAATTTTTTGAAATTTTTATTATAAACTTTTTGTCAATCGAGTTAAATTTAAAAAAAAAAAATCTCACATGAAAAATTCTTAAAAATTAACCAATAATGATTTTTTAGAATTCCATCATCAAAATAATTTTCATTTATTCTTAAAATTTTTTATAAATAACATTATGAGAATAGAATTTACTTAATTTATCATATAAATACTTTTTATCTACTTATCAAATAATTAAAACACATTCCTAATTCAAAAATCTAAACATTTAAAACAAATAGATAAGTAAAAGAAAAAATTGAAATAAATAAGATAACAAGAAATTAATAAAAGCTTAAAGAAAATAAAATAAAATTAAAACTAAAAATATTTGAAAATATATATACAAGGCAGGTGTTTGCAGGTGGGAGCACGAGCCAGAAACTCGGATTAGGCCCTAGACAAGCCTCTTTCTTTCTGTCTCAAAATGGTAGCGCTTCAAACTCACTTAAATAGCCAAATATTTTTTATTCTTCCATCTTCTCTCTCTTGTCTTATTTTTTCAACTTCTCTCCATAAATTCAACAGCATCCAAGAAAAATACTAGACTAAAGGCAAAAAAAAATCAAAAAAATAAAAAATCAATTCAAAATTATAATATTCGATTCATTTCTGATCAATTTTTGTTCTTTTATTGTTTGGATTAATTTCTAATATTAAATTAAAAATAAAAAAACTTTGTAAAAATCGAACTGAACAAAATTATTATTTTTATTAGTTTTTATATATTTTTTAAATTTTTATAAAATAAGATAATTATTTTATATTTAAATCTATTTAAATATATTAAAAATCATATTAAAATAATATATAAAAACAAAAATATTTTAAAAACCGATAAACCAAACTAAATCAATAAAATTCAATTTGAATAGGATCAAATTGTATAAAAATTTGGTTTTAATTCAAATCAAATTTTAAAAATTTATAATTTTATATATTATTTAAAAAACGAACTGAATCTGATTTGAACCGTTATCATATCTATAGTAGATTACTCAGAATCCAACCAACCTCTTCCGTTGCAGCTGCCTTAATCCACTTTCATCCATCGTCCATTGGCACCGAATTGTCACCAAATTTCACCCCAAAAAAATCTACTTGATTCCCTTTTCCTTCCTATCCAATTAGTTTTTACAAAAAAAAAGTCAAGAAAACCTTAGATTTAAAAGCGAAAACTAAAATCTTCTACTACTGATAAAGCCTTTCGTTGCCGACCAAATCCCCTAAGACCAAAATATGCTCTTGCCCTTGACTTAATCTTTTTGATCCAATTTTAAAACCTAAAACCTTTTAAGTTACCTAAACTGAAACTCTAAGAACCTTATGCCAAAGCATGCTTGTGTACTCATTACATGTGTACTCATTACAGGGGTTTTGGTTTTTAATGATATTTTTTTTAACGTTTAACGATGTTTATAAACATCACAAAAAGATTTGCGGCGTTTGCAAAAAATGTCACGCAGAGTGTCGGCTATTCACGCGTCGTGATAAATAATGGCTTTTTAGAAAAAATACCATAATGTTAGCGGTGTTTATATCTAAAACACTGTCATTTTAGCGGCATTTCTATCTTTGAGATGTCGTTAAATTAGTGACGTTTTTATGAGAAAAAAGGTAGTTGCTTTGGTAACGTTTATAACTGAAAATGCCTTTACTTTAAAGGCATTTGAATCTGAAAACGCCTTTGTATTAGCGGCGTTTATATCTTTTAGTCGTCGTTAATTCATTGACATTTTTATGATAAAAATACCGTTGCTTTAATGGCATTTTTATGAGAAAAATGCTACTTAACAAGCGACATTTGCTGGTAAGAGTGCCGCTACTTATAGTGACGTTTTATGCTACAAACGTCACTAAATTATTCATTTAGCGACCCACGACGAACGCAAACGCCGTCATTATGTAAAAATGTATTTTTTTTCTATATTCTTTTAATAAATTTTATTTTCATTAAAGAGTTTAAATTCAGAAACTGAAATTTATATTAACTTTATTCACATTTAAATATACATCTAATTAATACAAAGTTTAATAATTAGTATAATAACATTCAAATATTTTATATACATTAACAAAATAAAAAATTAAAATGTATGAAATGGATGACAGCATACATTTTGCTAGTTGACAATTAATGAAAAAAATTTTTCACCTTGATCACTAACGTGCGTAAGAACCTACTGAATTTCTAATTCCTATTGCTTATGTATTGTGGTTGTGTTTATTGTGGAATTGCGATTGATGATGAAGTTATGTGCTGGCTTTCCCTGTAATTATGGCTAGGATCAGCAACCCAACCCGTCCTCGACGGGTTTCAACCCGACCCAACCCTCTAGAGTCGATTTTTTTTTTGAAAATCAGGTTTCAGGTCAGGTTCGGGTTTTAGGCAAATCCGACCCAACCCCATATTTATATAAAAATTATTTTTTTAATTATTTATTTAATTTTTTTATTTATATATATTTATATAATTATGTATTTAAATATTTATATTTAAAAATAATATTTTATATTTTAAAAAATAATATTTTATTAATTTCAGGTCAAATCGGATCATGTACGATTTACACAATATCAGGGTCGGGTCGGGTATTAAAAAATTTTAAAAAAATTGGGACGGTTCGAGTTTAGATTTGATGGATACAAAATCCGATCGAGTTCGGAGTGAGCAAAAACCCGTCTCGACCTGACCCGTTGCCAACTCTAATTGTGACTTGTTTTTTATTGTGAACTCTTGCTAAAAATATTGTCCCTGAATAACCTAAAAATCGAACATTATCTAGCAACAATGAGTCAAGCTAATAATAACAAAAATTTATCAATATTTTAATTTAATAAAAGATCATTAATAAAGGACAAAATTAATAGGTAATACTATTTATATTTTTTAAATTCGTATTTATGTGTATAATATATTGATTAATTGATTATATTTTATAAAATGTGTAACAGGCTTCCTTTTGTTGGTTATGAAATACAAAAAGATGCTTTTCATCCTCAGCCGCCGACACTCAATGATCTAGAGGCTATATTTATATGTAACGGATGTGGAAAACTCTGTTGCGGTTTATCTTACAACTGTAGCCTATGTTTGTTCAGTCTTGATATCAAATGCGCTACTTTAAATGACGATCTTGCTAAACATGAGGCCCTTAAAGGGAAGGAAATTCAAATCTCAGTCTACCATTTCAGCCACAATCATCAGCTAACTCGTTGCAGGATTAATAGATTGCAAACGGAGATTCATCAGTCTTCCATAGCATGTAGACAAGACCTGCATGATCTAGTTTATACTTGTCTTGTTTGTGAATTCTTTATTCATGAATCCTATCTTAAGGACATGCTGATAGAAGTTGAGAGTCCATTTCACCCACAACATCCTCTTCTCCCATTTCCACTCAGGACTGTGATGGATAATCCTACATGCAAGGCTTGTCACGACAGAATTGATTGCATCATGTTCGGTTGTTATGAATGCAATTTGTACATGCACTATTCATGCGCTAAGTACCAAACTCGTATGATAAAGCACAATTGCCATGTTCAACATCTTCTACATTTGGGGAAAAGCATTTTCGTTAAAAGATCTCCTCCATGTGCTGAATGTCGCGAAAGATTGTAACAACACCTTTTTTGGGCTGTCATGAAATGTGAATTCACATACATCTTGAATGTGATTCAGCCTACCATATATCATCAAACATATGGTCATTTACTCATCACACTTCAAACTCTGTTGTGGGAAGACATTCTGGAATATACTATTGTGATATTGTGAAACAGAAGAAAATCCAGAGCATGATGTTTATTACTGCAAAGAATGGCACCTATATTGCGATTATTAATTGTGTGAATTTAGTGGTACGTGGAACTATTCGAATACTAGTTAATTAATTAGAAGTAAGCAATAATCTTCATATATAGAAAACCTTGAAATGATATATATTACTAACTTTCGTTAAATAACAAGCCAATTTTATTTAGTTTGTTGAATTCAATTTTCATGGCTCTATATATTTCATTATATTATAAAATTGTTACATCATTATTTTGAAATTAAAGAAGCATTTTTTGCTGCTATTTACTTTTATTAAGGTTGAACCGCCTGAAGAGATATCTAAATATTTGGTGCCTCGTCCAAGGAAAGAGAAAGAGAAGGCTGACAAATTACGAGAGATTCTCAAGCGGAAGATGAGGTCTTGAAAGAAATGCTAAAGCCTTTCTAAGAAACATTCCATGAAAGGCTTTGAATATTTGTAAGTAAGCTTATTCTATAAGAACCCTGGCTTTGCCATGTAATTTTAATTACTAATTAAATTCTCTTCATTTGACTTAAGCTTTAGTACTCTTTGAAGAAGTTTCTCTTTATTAAAAACCAATTCTAGTCAAATTATTTCAACTTAAGATAAAATTATGAAATGCAATCTTTATACGTAGCATATATATGCAAAGACACAAAAACTGGTTAAGAAGAATAACTAAATCGATGATGATGATGATGATGATGATGATGAAAGGATTCATAATCAATATATATACAAAATCAATATATATTTATTGAAATGTACAAATTTAAGGTCTGAAAGTAAATAATTTTCTCTTCCATATATATACATAATCAATATATTTATTGAATCACATAATTAATAGATTTCTTTGATGAGTTCTTTTTATTCTTCTATATATACATATAAATATATATATATATATTATTTGAAAAGAAATATAGCATAAAAGGTGGTTTTATATATAAGTCCATCGAACTAATATTATATACCAAAGAGATTAATAGGCTTTTTGGACGGTATGCTTGGAAATTACAATATATGTTACATTTATATGGCCCTTGGTAATGGCATGGCATGTATGTGAGGCAATTTTATTAGGATTCTAAGTAATAATAAGGACTTAAGTTTTCTTGTAAATTTAATTTGAAAAAAGAAAAAGTTTTTCCTGTAAATTTTATAAAATCACCTGGTTTTTTTTTCTCCGGAAACAAACAACTAATTCCAAGTAAAATGATTTCCTCCATTTAATTATTGGAAACTTTCCATGAAGTATGATACTTTTGCTATTTAATTTTCGGTCATGCATTCGTGACAATGATTTGTTTTAATTAATTTTTATAAGCATGTTATGTGCATCATCAATTTTGTTTCAAAATTTTGTATTCCATATATAATTTTTATTTGAAAGTCAAAAATTTTGTAGTCCTATAGCAGTAGCCTTCCTTGATTGCAGACTCGCTTATTGCTCTTGACATATATATTTTCCCTGTTCTGGCATTCCCAGTAAGAACAAGTTCCGGTGTACCTTGTTTGAATAGTTCTAATATCTCCTTCACATATTTTTTGGATGCTTTCAATGCCATTTCTGATACCAAAAAAAAAAAAGAGTAGAATCTTAATATAATCGAACGAAAAATTAAAAACTAAAAAGGAGGGAAAATAAGTTCTTTCTATCATGACATATGGTGTTCTACAACACATTAAATTCCCATAAGAGGCTAAAAGTGCTCATATTAAAAATGCTTTGCAGATTCTTCAATTCCAATGAATCATTCCGTCGGAATCATGATCCACTTTGCTTTTACATTTTCTTTTGCAATTGAAACATTGAATTAAAACTGGTTATGCGGTGAAAAACATGATTGAATATAGTAAGAGAACTCATTCTAAATATATTTATAACAATACAAGACTTACTAACATTTATATCCTACAGCAATCGAATTCAAAGAAAATTATGTAGTGAAATTCTATGAATCAAAAACTTTTATCGTGCTGCAGCTAGACAACTCTATATAGTGCATTCATGCATGAATCCATTTCTAAAACAAGTGAATATGCACTTTTTTTTTCTTATTACCACTGCCAACGCAATTTTCAGCCTACCTCTAACTCTCTCCTTACTACTTAACTCGAATCAAATCACATCAAAGTGTTGGGCTAAAAGCCTCCAATCTAATCACATCAGCGGAAGCAAAATCAAATAATAAATCAAACACATAAGAGAAGATTATTGTGAGATTTTTATTGTAGGTGGAGCCAAGCATGTCTAGCATGAAAATAGATGATTGATGAAATTTGAGTCAAGGTGGAGATTGTTGAGAATATTGACTCAAATCCCATAAGAGATTTGTGCACCCTTTCAATATAACCAAACACATACCCATATGCTCCCATACATCATACCTATGTGGACCCTCTCAATTTCCTCTAATCCACTCACAAACAAACATACACACCCATAAGACGTAGAGCCCCAATACTCCTATGGGATGTCTATCCCACAAAACTCTACAACTCTCTTACATCTTTTTCTCATATTTAACCCTGTAGAGACTTCACCTATTTATAACCATACAAACTTGCCCATTAAAAATCCCTTTCCTCTTAGAATTCTTCTCTTGTAAGTCAAACTTGCCTATTAAGAATTCTTTTCCTTTTAGAATTCTTTTCTTGCAAGTCAAACTTACCTATTAAGAATCATCTTTCTTTTAGAATTCTTCCTTTGCAAGTCTTCTTGTCCATCAAGCAATATCTAACAAATCTCTTATGGGATTTGAGTCAATATTCCCAACAATCTCCACCTTCACTCAAATTCCATCAATCATCTATCTTTATGCTAGACATGCTTGGCTCCACCTGCAATAAAAGTCTCACAATCATCTTCTCTTGTGTGTTTGATTTCGCTTCCGCTAATGTAATTGGATTGGAGTCTTTTAGCCTAACAAATGGTATCAGAGCTGTGGTGTTCCCCAACAAGTGGTGCGTATGTTTGTTTGTGAGTGGACTAAAGGAGATTGAGAGAGTTCACATAGGTATGATGTATGGGAGCATGTGTTTGGTTATATTGAAAGGGTGCACAAGGGTTTGGGTTTGTGTTTATTTAGGTTGAGAATACTTCATAGGACTAGAGAAGATTGAGAGTGTTTTATGAGTATCGATTGTTGAGTGAGGTTGATGATTTGATGTATGTTTGTAATTTTCTACAACTAATGGATCTTGTTTCTCATCCGTGGATATAGGTTGATTGAGCCGAACCACCTTAAATTGTTGTCTTTTGTATGTTTGATTTATTGTTTGATTTCACTTCCGCTAATGTGATTGGATTTGAAGCTTTTAGCCCAACACAAAGATGGTATAACAATAACAGATTCTACATTAAATACTGAACAAGAGCTTATAATACATTCTATAGACAATGTACTTGGAGGGTTTAGAATTTTCAATCTTCCAATAAAGAATCAGAACAGTTTTTCTCTTATAAAATAGGAAAAAATAACCCAATAGATCAGAGCACAACTTGTTCAGGACCTCAATGCTATCAGTTTCCACAAATACAAATTATAAGACTGGTGGAAATAAATCATATAAAGCATTCCATAAACAGTAAAGACTAGAAAATAAAGTGAAAAATGTGTAAGAAATAATTTCACTTATTATATACAGAATCTCTTACACTTTGTTTAATTGACGAGAATTTTTTTTAGTTTATTTTCTATTTCTGTTCTTTATTTTTTATTAAAAATAAAAATGATAACTAAATGGAGTTTTATTAGTTCTAGTAAAAAGAAAGTCTCAATATGATTAATTCATGACAACACCTTGTTAATTTATGGTAGCAATAATATTAATGAAATGGTAGCCTTGCCCACATTTTCACCCTTTTGATTGAGGCAGAAAAGATGAGCAAAGTCAATGTTTAACGTTAATTGACGTTTTAGCGACCTTAATTACCAAATTTTTAAAGAAAAAGGCTTTGGAGGATTTGGTGCCTACATCTCTTTATTATATTTCATTTTATTTGTAGACACCCAATTGGGTCCGGCCCAGATCAATTGGGCCTGGCCCAAATGGGTAAGCCCAATTCAATTTTATCTTGTATTTTTTTTTCTCTTTTCTTCTTCTTTTGTATTTTATGTATTGTATTATTTATTATTATTATTATGTATTAATATATGTATATATTTATTTATTTATTTTTGTTAATATTTATGTGTATTTTATTATTTATGTATATATATATATTTTATCTTTTTATTTTATTCATTTTTGTATTTTTACTTATCTAATTATATATCTGATATATTTTTTATTATTATTATTTATCCTATAATATCTGCTGATTTATCTTCTCTAATTATCTAGTTTTTTTTTTATTTTTGATTTTTATTTTGGAGGGCTAGGATTGAAAGTTGAAGAATCCCACTGGGAGTGGGAATTCAATCAGAAGAGTCCAGACTGGATTCAAAGATTGAATTCCCGTCCAAAGGGGAATTGGGATTGATCAAAAACTCCTGATCAATCCCTATATAAAGCACCTCCTGGAACATAATGAAAACACACAGAAAACAGTAAGCAAAGCTACTGATTTGAGAGAAAAGGAGGTGTTATTAGGAAGCTAGGAAAAGTTTAGGAGTGTTCTGGGAGTAGGAAAAATTTTTTAGAAATTTTTGGCGAAAAATTTTTCTGGAAATTTCCCAGAAATTTCCAGATTCCGGCGAAAATTCCGGCGAAATTTGAATTTTCCGGCAACAATTCCGGCGAACATTGAAGTTTTCGGCGACCAGCCCAGTTTCCGACGAAGAATCCCAGAAACCGGCAATCTTCCGGCCAACTTCCGACGAAATTTCCAGATTCCGGCGATATTTTCCAGAATCCGGCACCGGTGTTCTTCGGTTTTAGAGAGAAGGGAGAGAAAAAGGGAAGAAGAGAGAGAGAGGGAGGAGCGTTCTGCCGAAAAAACGAAGGGGATTGCCTTTTATACCCTCCCAAAACGACGTCGTTTTGGCCTTAAGTAACCCAGAGGATCCGCGCATTTTGCCGAACCCGACCGACCCGGGCGTCGACCCGCTTTCTGACCGGCGCGTGCCAGCCCTCCTCCAAGCCGAGCCGAACCTCCAAGCCGCTCCCCTGAGCCGTTTTTTCTTCCTTGAGCCGAGCCGATAGCCGAGCGGCTCCAGTTTTTTTTTTTTTTTGAATTTTTTTATTTGTTTTTTTATTTATTATTATTTTTATTTATTAGATTAGGTTTATTTAATATTCTTTTTATCTTTATTTTATTTTTATTTTTGTTTTACTTTTCTTTTTTATTTATTTTATTATTCTATTTTTCTTTAAATAAAAAATCAAAAGTTCCAAAAAAAATATTTTTAGGGAAAAGTTGAAAGTATCAATTTTCCTTAAAAATAAAATTTC